CAGAAGAAGTTCTAGAGCCACCAAGAGCTATGCTGGATCCTACTTGTTTCTAAAGTTGCAGGAGAATGGATTTCACATATAACTGTGCAAAAGGAAGAAGCAAGGTTAAATCCCATACAAAGTTGTGAAGAGGTTACAGAGAATGGAAAACAGAATGACATCCTGAGACACAAGAAAACTGTCTGTCGGGTGGGAACTAGAGTAACCATTTCAAAAGGTACAACATGATTAAGAAATTATACAAATAAAAATAAATAACAGATATTGTCTTAAGAGAAATAGGAAGTGAAAAAGAAGAAACTTCTAAAACATGAAAATAAAGTGAGATGACAGATTCCAGAGAAGCTGACAGATGGAGAAGGTGAGTAAAGAAGATCCAATATATATATACTAGAAATCCTGTAAGAAACACATTGAAGCAAGGAAATAGAGCAAATGCTGAAAATTAAATTCAATACAGCCTCCTTAAATCATGGACATTGATCAAATAATGATCAGCATCAAGATATAGTCTAACAAAACTACCAGTTTCTAAAAAAAAAAAAAAAAAAAAAAAAAAAATCCTTTGGGCATCTGGGTAAAAAGATTATCAATTCAATTTGTAAAGGGAAAAAAAGAGAACAGATTGTCATCAGGCTTGTCCATAACTCCTTACACCAGAAGCACATGGAATGAGACAGTAAAGGTGCTCAAGGGGGAAAAACTGTGAGCCCATAACTTTATATCCAGCCAAACTTATTTTCAAGAATAAAGGCCCCAAGGGAACTGTCACCCATATGTAAGTGAGTATTTTCCCAATGCACTCCTTCTGAGGAATTTACTGGAGAATGCACTTCTGACAACCAGAATTAGTGGAGAGACGTCAACATAAGGACTGGTGGTGAACATGAGGGGTGTGTGTGTGTGTGTGTGTGTGTGTGTGTGTGTGTGTTTAGACCCAAGATAACATGAAAATTAAGAAAAAAAAAGCATAATATAGAATGGCCATATGTTTCAACAATATAGATGCAGTCTAGTTATTAGAAAAATTTGACAGAAGAAATGGTATAGCCTGTGAAAATACGTGAGGTTTTTAGCAATCATATTCATAATGATATTGATAGTGTTATTCTAATATCTTTGTATATGTGTGAGATCAAGCAAATGAGCTAGTGTGAAATATTTTTTTCTTCCATCATCCTCTGTGCTCTTAAGAAGCAACGTAGAAGAAGGGAGATGCAGATGTGAAATAGCAAATGTTAAATAAAAGCCTTGTAGTTCTGAAATACCTACCTTCTTAGCAAATTTCAAGTGTATTATATTATTCACTATATTACCATTTTGTACATTAGATCTCCAGAACTTACTCATCTTGAAAACTAAAACTTTGTACCCATTTTGGATAGGCCAAGGCATGAAGGTTGAACAATCCAGTGGTACAGCACCAAGCTGAGCACCTCAGAGGGGTTTGATACATATTTATTGAGTTCATTCACAGTTGCATGAAGGGATGCACATAGGTGTTGGAAGGGACTAAAGAGTGTCTTGGTCTCTTATGTAAGTCTGACCAAATTCCCACCTGGCTTAAATCCAATTTCCTGCCTACTCTGTATTTTGCAGCCAGGTGTTGGAGAAAAACATAAAATTCTACGACTAATTTTTCTTTCAGTTCATAACCTCTGCCCACAAATGGGTTGCAATAATACTAGCTCCCTCCTTCCATTCCCTCTCCCCTGATCATTGACACGTTTCTTCTCTTCTCAATTTTCCAACACTTCCTTTATCTCTCTGAACCTAGGCCCAGATACTCTTCCTTCCTTCCTTTGCTAAGGATGGCAGCTTTCCCTCTCACGCCAACCATTCTACTCAGCCTTGGGATCCCACTCCTCCACCTACCCAAAGACAGAGCTTGTTTCCTAGATGACATCATCAACTCTCTCCTCTCTTCCCATCATTCCCTTCAACATACAAGCTTATCATTTTTCCAGTTTCAAAAAATCCTTTTAGTCCCACTGCCCCTTTCAGCTGCTAGCCCCTGCTTCTGTTCTCCTTTTCAGCCAGACTCCTACTGGAAGAAGGACCCATTCTCAGCTCTTAAAATTCCTTTCCTCCAATTCCGTCTTTATTCCATTTGACTCCGCTAAGGTTTTTGGCTCCATGACTCCCCTGAAATGGCTCTTGTCAAGATCACAGTGACATCTGCATTTCCAACCCCAACCAATTTTCAGTAATTGTCTTCTGTGCACCTCTTGAGACATATCATTACACCCTCCTTGAAGAATTTTGTTCCCTTGGCTTCCAGGACACCTATATCCTTTTCATTTTCCACCTGCCTCATACGCTGCTTCTTCTCAGTCCCCTTTTCTGGCTCCTTCTCTTCTCCTCTACAAAGGTTAGATAGTCTCAGCCAGCCTCATGACTACTGAGATAACACAGAGTTGGATTGTCAAATCAGACTCACAGGAATCATAGATGTAGCCTTGTGTCAAGCTTTACTAATAACTTCAAGGATGCAGGTAATAATGAGGCGCACACAAAGCACAGAGAAGGGCGGGTCGTTTCGCATGGTCCTGGGTCATTTCTCAGCATCTTACGTTGTGTACTCTAGGCCAGACTTAATAAATGAGGTCTTAGAAGTTCATCGAATGATCATTAACATTAACATTGAGAAATCTCTCAATTATATAAACTGTCTCATCATTCATCACTCGAGGAATCATTCACCACGGAAGCATTTCCTGCTTAATGTATCCCACAGTTAAGAAGTCTTTTCGGGTAAATGCCATTGTATGGATGCGCCATTAGCATGTTTGCAAAAGGATTTGACCAAGTCATCTTTCTTTCTTTCCTGAGAAAATACATGGGAGGTCTGATGCTAACCCTTTTCCTCCCAGCCTTCCATGCACGTATGATTTCAAAATTTGTATCTCCAACCCATTCTTTCTCCTGAACTCCAAACTCGTGTTCAGTTAGGTGCGCGGCATCTTACCGTGCAGCAGTTCGTCAAACTGCAGGCGAGCACAGTAGAAATCACGACTCCTTTTCCCAACTCCCAACCTACACATACACATGCTCGTGCACACTCACACATATGCAGACACACCCACTTTTCTTATGTCTTCCCATCTCTCTGTAGTTCATTCTCTGTCTCTTACTTTCTCTCTCTCTGTGTGTGTGTGTGTGTCTATCTGTCCTTCTGTCTTCTCAGACGGAAACATTACGTTCATGCTTTTTTTTTTCTCATGCCATGTATCCAATTTGCCTAAAAACGTTTGCCATTTCTGCCTTCAGAATATATCCAGCTGCCCCCCCCCACCCCCACCTCTCGCTTGCTGGTTCAGGCCATCGCCGTCTCGCATGTGGGTTGCTGAAAACCTCCTGCGGCTCCTCTGCTTCCTCCTTCCATCTTTGCCCGTGAGAGTCAATTCTGAATATTTCAGCCAGATGGCTGTCTTTAAAAGATTAGTCAAATGATGTCACCCCACAGCTCCAAAGTCTCCCGTGGTTCCCATGTCTCTCAGAATAGCAGCCAGACTTCTGCTAGTGGCCTTCCGGGACCTACACACCCCAGACCCCCAAGAACTCTGACACATCTTCTGCCGTTTCCCTGTCTGCTGTCACTCAGCCACACTGGCCTCTGCTGTATCTCAGAGCACCAAGTGCATTCTGACTTCCACTTCTTGGTGCTGCTCTGTCCTTGACCTGAAAGCCCATTCCCACAGGTAGCCACATGGTTTGCTTTTCTAATCTCCCTTAGATGTTTGCTTCCATGTACCCTCTTCCTAAGGCATCCCTATCCCCTAATCACCTCTTCAAAATTATAGTCCCCATTGTCTCCAAACTCTGCTTCTTCTCTGGTTTTTATTCTCTTTCCACTGAAATATAACCTTTCAGCATTTATTGTTAGAGGCATGGGGACAAGAGCAGAGGTGTCTGTTTTGTTCACTGCTGTATCCCCAGCAGTGAACCCACAGTAGGGTCTGACACATACATAGTAGATGGTCACCGAATGGTGCATAAAATAATTCACAGTTGAGCAAATTCACTTGATTTGATCTGAGTTTAGAAGCAAATATGATCAGATAACACGAGGAGAACAATAACAGGGCTGCAACAGGAAGACTCTGGACACTGCCCTGTCTAGTTCGATTTTGCAGGCTGGGGAAACCAGGGAGGGCGTTGAGCCCTGCAACAGCGTAAGAAAGAAACATGCTGTAAGTAAGAGAATAATAATGAAAGGGAAAGAATCCCTTCTTCTTCAAGCTGAATGTGCTCAGTATTGCTCAGACATACTTAGATATCATTTGGGCTGCCCACAGTTAGCACAGGATGGAATATCAGACCTATTTTCAAAATGGTTTTAAAAGCCCATAGACTCCTGAAGAGAGACATGAAAATTACTACTTGATGAGCTTGATAATGATGCATTCTGTGTCCATAACTTAAAATATAGCTGTATTTCCTAAAATTTGTGCGAATTAAGACTATTAAATGCATGGGGCACCTGGGTGCCTCAGTGGGTTAAGCCTCTGCCTTCGGCTCAGGTCATGATCTCAGGGTTCTGGGATCGAGCCCCGAATGGGGCTCTCTGCTCAACAGGGAGCCTGCTTCCCCCCTCTCTCTCTGCCTGCCTCTCTGCCTACTTGTGATCTCTCTCTCTCTCTCTCTCTCTGTCAAATAAATAAATAAAATATTTTTTAAAAAAAGACTATTAAATGCAGTTGATGGTAGTAATATTAAAAGAACAAACTTTGGGAGTGGGGAGGGAAATTTAGGGCCAGTTTCCTAAAAATACAGAGTTATCTGTTTTGCCAATTGCAGTTGGGAAGGCTTTCTTTATGTTGGATCATACCTCATCCACCCACCCATTCCCTTTCTTTACCAAAACACGTGAACAAGAAAATCCACACACCACCAACCATTAACATTTTGGCTAAAATGTTAAAATGTTAAAATCCTTAGTATTAGGACTTTTAAAAACTCATGTCGTTTTTGGTTTTTGTTTTTTGTTTTTTTAACAGTACAACCGGTACCAGCAATATGGTGCTGAAGAGTGTGTGCTACAGATGGGGGGAGTGCTGTGCCCTAGCCCTGGCTGTGGAGCAGGGCTGCTTCCTGAGCCGGGCATGAGGAAGGTCACTTGTGAAGGGGGCAGCGGCCTGGGCTGTGGGGTAAGTACCACCTACACCTTTGGGTGTTCATTGTTTGTGTGTTTCCTTTTAGCAAATTGGCAATGATGATATATTTGTTTTATTGTCACTTTCCCTTTGCACTCAGACACCTTCGAACTGATGTTTAACAAAACAGACCTTTAGGGGTGCCTGGCTGGCTCTGTCAGAAGAGTATGCGACTCTTGACCTCGCAGTTGTATGTCTGAGCCCCACATTGGGTGTAGAGATTACTTAAAAATAACATCCTTAAAAAAGAAAAGAAAATAGACTTTTAAATTCTGATACAGGATCCCAGATATGCACATATATATTCATTGATGGGGAGGAGAAGGTCCTACTAAGAGTTTCTGCTTTCATTGTCACCGTGTTTTCTCTAAGACGTTGTGAATTACTAGGCCAGACTTTTAAACATTTTTTTTCCAGTGCTCAGCTGATTCAGAGAAAACATTTATTACTTTTTTAGAGTTGGCTTTAAGGAGACAGAGTAAAGGAGAAAAGGAATTTCCCATCAGTGATGTCTTAGCGGAATTGTTTGCCTAAGTATTTCAAGAAATAAAATGAAGATTAATATGGAAAACTTGAAATGTTATTGTGTCATAAAAATCATTTTGCATAGAGAGGAGCAAAACTAATGGTGCCTCTTAGGGAAGCAGAATAAGAAACATGGAAAATGTTTGTTTTACAAGGTCAACCAGTATGACCCAGATGGTTTCTTGAATGAATCTATGGCTGCAAGCTGACAGGGGAGGTGTGAGGGAAGCATAACTCAAACACAAAAAGTCTTGCTAAATTATAGGTTGAAGTGACAAATGGCTAATAATCCTGATATTAGATTCCATGCAGGCCCGAAAAGGAAGAAAGTATATGTGCCTATAAAATGCTATTGAATTTTGATGGGAAAACATTTCTTTTAAAATTGCAACTTCATGAGGAGCTTTGTAGAAGGAGTGCTATTGGCAGAGGCTTATGCTGGGGTGAGAGCTCTAAGTCACCTTTGCAGAGGTTGGTGTCTGTTGTCCTCAGTAAAGCCATCTGTGGGGTTGCAAAGCCCTGGGCTGAGCCATAAAGTAGAGGAAGTAGACGTGGAAAAGCCATGAGATACTGTGATGCCTACTCAGAGAAAAATGCCTCTGGATTAATAATCATGATGGCATTAGAATGGGAACAAGTCACGTGTGCTCGCTTTAGGAATCACAGAAGTCAACCTACACTTTCCAGCCAGATCTTCATCACGTACCGTGTAATCTGCACCGATTGTGTGTGGCCTGAGCCAACTGCCAAATTCTGGGAGATCAGAATGCTGGGGAATGCTTTCTTTTAAAATGAGTTATAACAGTTTTTAACTAATGACTAAATTGTATGCTTCTGCCTGCTAATTGCCAACTGTTGTTCCATTCTCAAAAGTTGGATTTTAAGGTCTTAACTTTCTCTATGAGGAAAAGAGTTTCTTTGGCCCATCTTCTGCATTCCGTTGTTTACCTTGCTTTCAAGAAGTTTGAGGGTTTTATGTAATTTTAAGTTTTGAACAGCTGTGTCTTCCTTTTTCTCATTCAGTGTGACATTGTAAGTAAGTTACATACACATTTAAGCTCCAGGTCATGGAAAATTACTTTGGGAGTGAATTGAATTGCTTTCATACCTTAGGGTTGAAGAGTTTGGGGGCAAACCTTACCTAAATGAGGAGACCTGTCTTCCAGATGTTTTTTTGTCCTTTTGAAATTCAAAGTGATGGGTTTTATTTTATTTTTATTTATCCGGTTTTGTTGTTTTGGGGGGTAGGCTTGTCAGTTTGTATATTACATCTCTATTACTGCATAACAAATCACCCCAAATTTTAACCATTTAGTCCATTAAACATTATCCCACAGAATGGGCATCAGGAGTCCATAAGTATCTTAACTGGGTAGCTCTGGCTCTGGCTTGGGGTCTCATGACGCCACAGTCGAGCAGGGTTGCTTCAGTTATCTGAAGGCTTGACTGGGGCTGGAAGATCCATTTCCAAAACGGCTCATTCGTATGATCAAGCCAGATCTACAGCAGGGAATTATGTATCTAGGCGTCACTATTTTAGCCATTCAAAGAATTGCTTCTCCCACATAGTCCCTTGACAGACTGTCATTCATTTTCATTGTGGTCATTATACAGGAAATTTGATGCTTGCGGTTCAGAACATCCCAATGGACTTTTCTATGAGATAACATGGTGGCTCTTCCATGCTGACCTTTGCAACAGGAGCACTTATGCTTGTTCTGAGGAATGTTGTCCTTGAGGGCACTGTAAATTGTACAAGTAATAAAGTGTCCCTCTGAGACTGGTTAGTAACCGAGAGCCACATTTGTGTATTAGCCGTCGCATATAAGTGGACCATTATTACAACAGATTTGGAAGCTCTCTTTTCCTTTTTTTTCTTTCCCTTTTTCTGATGTATATAGTTCTGCCATGATTTGTTCATTCTCGTAAGCTGCCAATCTTTTCTGGATTCAAGGGTGGTAATGGAAAGTCACTGTGTGGTAGAAATCATGATTAGTTCATGTTGTTCAGAGAGAACAGGACCCAATAAGTAGAAGTTCGAGAATGATGACTCTCTGCTTAACAATCGCCCTTACACCATGGACAACCAACAGTAAAATGGGCGGCCTCGGGAAGTAGTAAGCACCTCACCCTACACGGTATTCAAGGAAAGTCACTGACAACAAAGCTATGGAAGAATCATAGAGTCTCAGATATGAAAACACTCTAGATCTTACTATCCCCGGTGCTTCCTAGGTTGTAGTTTACAGGTTTAAAGTAAGATATCTGTGAGTCTACCTGTGCTAATTTTTTCTCAACTACCAACAGATTCAAAAAGTGCAACTCTTATTTTCTAGGTAACCAAGAAATGCTTGATGTTATCAAACTAGGCCTTAGAAGTACATTGTAATGTGCCCATGGACACCCATTCTCAGAGCTGAGCCACAGCTGCATGTGTTGTCTTCCTGTCAGTCAGCTCACCACAACACACTTAGATGGTCCTTCATATACCCGTGATTCCTGTTGTATGTGGTTTGCATCTAAAGAAACAGATTTCAGTATTTTTATTATCTTTGGCTTCTTAAAATAGGTGCTTTGGTTAGTATTTATGACTCTCTTATTCAAACATATAGTGCCGTCCATCAGAAAATCAGATTACCTGATTCTTCACTCTACTGTATCCTTACACTTAACTGTTACCTGGAGAGCAGTGCACATTAGCTAATACATGCGGACAAGGATTTCTATTTAAATGATAATAATGTCAGTCCATCTCAGAAAGGCCTGATAGATGTGTGATGGTTCCAGCAAATTTATTACCATTATAAAGAATTGTTTGAGCTTAAGTCCCATATACCAGGATTCAAGTTGAAGTGTTACACTTGTTTCATGCCTTTATGTTCCCATCCTTAATCTTGACATTATTGTCCTCAATAAATCCATGTATTTGGAGTTCAACATTGATTAAATGGATGGATGGATGGATGGATGGATGGATGGACGGATGGATGGATGAAAACTATGTAGAAGTAATATGAATATACTAGCACTTTTATTTTCAAATATTAATCATTATTTACCCTGGTATTAGAGTTGCTTGCAAGAACCTCATCAAGAAATTCACAATATACAGTGTTTTACTTGCACACAAAATACATAATTCAGAACAAAATAGACTAAGTTCAGGGATCCACAAAAAAGTCAATTAGGAACCAAGAAGTACTTCAAGAATCACAGTTTATGTACCCTGTCAAAGGCTATGCAGCCAAACTAGAATTTTGTACGTCCTGATATATAAAATGTCTTGGTCTTAGGGGCACTGAGATTTCAGTTTTGACACAGCACAGAATATTTTTACATTAATTGATGGAACTCAACAAAGAATATATTTGGGGATCAAATAGGCTGACCTCACTCACTGCTAACCTTGATCAAATTTTTACTACTGCTTATAAAAATATTAATTGATTTCCTAAGGAATTCATGTTATGCATTATTCTTTACTCTGGCTTATTGTTATTCATCAGAACTATCTCACTAACTTTTATGACTCCAATGTAAAATGTTGACATGTTTAATACTGGAAAACAGCAACAAAATATGGAATACATTAATACTCACTGACCTGGGAATACAGAAAGCTAAGGCAATCAAACTTTGTGAGTTTTCCATAAATAAAACATCATTATCTTATTTGGGGTTGTTTTGGGATATTATATGTCTGAGAGAGAATTTCTTATCTAGGATAATACTAGGAATTAGATGAGTTTTCTGTTTTAAATTAGAAATCCAGGGATAAGATGACAACTGGGGAAAAAAGATTTTAAAAAGATCATATTACTGACCATTTGTTAAGGAAATAAGATAGAATTTCTTCAGGCGCCTGGTAGGCACTCCTTCCTTTAAGAGAGAGCGCCGTGTTGCTGAGGCAGATCTCTCAAGGTGCGAATGAAGCATTCATCTTGGGCTCCCTTCTTGCACAGACCTCTTGTTTTTACCTAGTTGTCTTTGTGCATTTTCCTTAAAGAGGGCCTCAAGGATTGTAGGACTTAAAGATGGAAGGGCTCCATCAAATCAAAATCTGGATCTATGCAAGTGTGGGGTCCGAGCTGGTATGTGCAAAGAAATTTTTGTTGAAAGTAGTGATTTTGAACTATTCTCTGACAGTAGTGGATTTTACTTAGGTCAGGGTTCAAGCCTCATTTTCAGTTCTTACATAGGAAAGGAGTGAATGAAAGTAAATGGAGATACCTAGTCTTCCACTCAAAGATCAGATGTTGAGTTAAAAAACCTAAGTTAATTTCTTGTCATATAGTTGCTGATAATAATTTCTAATAATTGTTTCTGTTTCCATGGTGTTAGTCGTGATCTCTCCCCTTTCATTCATGATTTTATTAATTTGGGTCCTTTCTCTTCTCTTTTGGATGAGTCTGGTCAGAGGTTTATCGATATTACTAATTCTTTCAGAGAACCAGCTTCTAGTTTCGTTG